TGCTGCATCTGCTGCTAGATCAATCCACTTGGAAGAGAGCATCCAGAAATATGTCCTCAACTCCTTCTGGTTGGTTCAAGCTGTCTTCACAGCTGTGAATTGAGTTGCCCCACTGTCATCCAAATTTTATGTCTCATAGTGATGTCTAGGTAAGAGAGCCAGTATATAGCACAGTGGTTAAAGTATTGGACAAGGAGCAGGGAGATCATTTTATCCCTCCCTTGGGTATGGAAGTCAGCTTTGTGACCTTGGGCCAGTCACTCGCTCCCAATTCTAATCATCTTTAGGCTCTGCAACAAGCCAGCTGATGAACGAAATCCTTTGTGCATCATGCACTGATAGCTGCACTGTAAGAACCAAGTAAGTGCAGTACAAAAACCAAGCAGGCTCTGAAGCCATGTAAGACAAACTATTATGTACAACAATGGTGTTGTGGGTATAGCTAGAAAAAGAGTAGAAACTAGTGTTGAAATAGGAAGCGTATTGTCTGTGTTCTACATTTTGGAAGGCATTGTTTCCTGTCCTCTATGTCTATATAGCTATCTATATATCTCTGTATCTGTATCTATCTGCTGCTGGAATTCTCATTGTCACGAACTTTAACTGGGAAAAATGGCACATCATAGGGCAATATTTTTTAATCAGGTTGCTTCAAATGGGCTATCTTACAGAATGTCTCCAAAATCTGGGATCCATGACTCCTCAGGGAATGAAAATTGGGGAAAATTGGCTGCTTCAGTGCTACTGGCTGCTACTGCCCTGCTGGGCTGTTGCTGCGGTCACAAAAATCTCATTTTTAATGTTCCGTGACAGTTTCCCAACCAATCCCAGGAGAGGGGTAGGAAAAAAGAAAGAAAGAAAGAAAGGAAGGAAGGAAGGAAGGAAGGAAGGAAGGAAAGAAAGAAAGAAAGAAAGAAAGAAAGAAGGAAGGAAGGAAGGAAGGAAGGAAGAAAGAAAGAAAGAAAGAAAGAAAGAAAGAAAGAAAGAAAGAAAGAAAGAAAGAAAGAAAGAAAGAAAGAAAGAAAATTCCAGGCATTCTCTGCCAGCTTCTCATACAAAAACTCAATAGGAAGCCAACAAGAAGTCATAATTTGCTCCCAGTCCCATTGTTGTTGTTTTTTGCCCACCCCTGGTCATTCCTTAGATAAGGAAATATCTCTGAAATTATGACCCAATAGGGCACAGGTTATCTAATAATAGAACTGGCTCCTTGAACATGGCCAGGATCTGTGAGGGAACACATATATTGTGTTGTTTCTTATGGAATGAGATGTTTTCCATCTGAAATGTATTCTCCATTCATTACTCTTTTAAGAAGTTAATTCTCTGTCCATGTAACCCTAAAGTTCCCATGGACCATACCCCTTTGAAGGATAAAAGACAGAGCTGGGAAGAAATGGCTTGGGAAACTTGCTCTTAGCAGCCCACTGCCTTTCCTTGGTTTCCAGGAGAAAGCATACCTATTCACTCTAACACATTTCTCTCACACTTTATATGTGTGACCCATAATCCCAAGGATTTAAATAGCCAAAGAATGCAGTTCTTGCCATGTTCTAAATACAATTTCCTGCATACCCTAGAATCTCCAAAGTGGGTTACAATCCTTGCAACATGACCAGATGCAGAAAAACATCCTTTTTCTAATCAGACAGTGAGAATTTCAGGGCCACTGGTGGATGCCCTTGGAGCCGTGTTGGTGCTGAGTGAGCTGCAAAGGAGAGCACACTACCAATGCAGCTTCTGTCTCACTCCATTCTTGTCAGTAGAATACACATTCTGAGTGCCCTTTAATTACCCCTTTTGATAGAATAGAGCATTATATTTTGACAGCATTGCTGCTCTCTGAATTATCAGCTGCTGGGTATCCTAGCATAGAAGAGAAATTAGAACACAGCTTTCTATGCAAATAGTTTCTAAATACTGCATATTTAATGGCATGCAGTTCTTCTTTGAAAATATGAATTCAGTCCCTAATATTTCATTGCCTGTTTAGAAGTTCTGGGTAAAAGGAAGGGCAATGTCTAAGATCTCCACTATTAGTACACATTCTTCCTTGAGGGCTATGAATATATTCCAGGCTTCTCATGCATTCAAAGAATCATAATTAGGAGGAGGAATATTATAAACTACTCATGTGACCTTTGGAAATGTAGTCCTTGAATTCAGCATTGTAATGAGATAGTGAAAGATTTAGGAGTCTTCCTGGAATTACAACTCCTGGTAAAGGACATGCACAAGGGTCATTTTGTCCAGCTTCAGTTGTTTTGCCAGTTGTGATCCTAGGTGGATGAGAAGGCTCTGGTGATTATGAAGTGCCCAGATCACAAATGAACTACATCCCTGTGGGTGAAAACCACTGGTGGGTGAAAACAACTACAACCAATGTGCTAGGCACTGCATCGAATTTCCAACAGGCTTCGAGGTACAATTCAAAATATTGATTTTTAACGTGTGGTAGAGCTTCCAGATTTCTCCAGGACGGCTTCCTCCTTATGGGGCCAACCCATTCATCGCCCAGTGAGGAATTTTTCCCCATAAATGTAAGGTGGAAAATTACAATAGTGTTTTTTCTTGCCTACTCTCACCTTGAGGAAATGCTTCTTCTCAGAGACAGAATTGGAATTCACTAGTAGGACATCAAAATAGAACTTTTTCAAAAGGTATTCAAGGTTCCCATATTGGCTTATTAGTTATTGGTTTATGTTACTTTTTCCTCTTTGTAATTTAGTGGATTTAGTTGCATCTGCTTATTAATCACTGTGAGTCAGTCTGATTCATTCATATATATATATATATATATATATAT